CGTTTTAAAAATTTTGAGACCTGACGTCGGCTTGATTGATATCAAAACCTCTTCGTTGGACAAATACTTGAACGACTCCAAGATTTTAGCGAATGCACGCTTTTTTCACGATGCGGCAGGAAGTCCAAGTTTTAAGTTTGTCAAAGTTGTCCAAGGTATGTTAATTTTTATAACGTTAACTACGACGTTTTAAAAATTTTGAGACCTGACGTCGGCTTGATTGATATCAAAACCTCTTCGTTGGATAAATACTTGAACGACTCCAAGATTTTATCGAAAGCACGCTTTTTTCACGATGCGGCAGGAAGTCCAAGTTTTAAGTTTGTCAAAGTTGTCCAAGGTATGTTAATTTTTATAACGTTAACTACGACGTTTTAAAAATTTTGAGACCTGACGTCGGCTTGATTGATATCAAAACCTCTTCGTTGGACAAATACTTGAACGACTCCAAGATTTTATCGAATGCACGCTATTTTCACGATGCGGCAGGAAGTCCAAGTTTTAAGTTTGTCAAAGTTGTCCAAGGTATGTTAACTTTCATAACGTTAACTACGACGTTTTAAAAATTTTGAGACCTGACGTCGGCTTGATTGATATCAAAACCTCTTCGTTGGACAAATACTTGAACGACTCCAAGATTTTAGCGAATGCACGCTTTTTTCACGATGCGGCAGGAAGTCCAAGTTTTAAGTTTGTCAAAGTTGTCCAAGGTATGTTAATTTTTATAACGTTAACTACGACGTTTTAAAAATTTTGAGACCTGACGTCGGCTTGATTTATATCAAAACCTCTTCGTTGGACAAATACTTGAACGACTCCAAGATTTTATCGAATGCACGCTATTTTCACGATGCGGCAGGAAGTCCAAGTTTTAAGTTTGTCAAAGTTGTCCAAGGTATGTTAACTTTTATAACGTTAACTACGACGTTTTAAAAATTTTGAGAGCTGACGTCGGCTTGATTGATATCAAAACCTCTTCGTTGGACAAGTACTTGAACGACTCCAAGATTTTAGCGAATGCACGCTTTTTTCACGATGCGGCAGGAAGTCCAAATTTTAAGTTTGTCAAAGTTGTCAAAGGTATGTTAACTTTTTTAACGTTAACTACGACGTTTTAAAAATTTTGAGACCTGACGTCGGTTTGATTGATATCAAAACCTCTTCGTTGGACAAATACTTGAACGACTCCAAAATTTTATCGAATGCACGCTATTTTCACGATTTACTTACTTACTTACTTACTTACTTACTTACTTACTTACTTACTTACTTACTTACTTACTTACTTACTTACTTACTTACTTACTTACTTACTTACTTACTTACTTACTTACTTACCCTCTTACCTTTTCAAATATTGCGAATAATTTTTCGGCAGATTGTCGCTTTCAACGAGTGATTGCCTCTTGCACATGGTTAATTTGAGTGATTCTCTCCAGGGATAGTTTCTTGGCTGGTTCACTGCGAGTACTGACTACGGTTTATACAGCAAAAGATATAGAACGATGAAAATTTCCTTCGGATCAATTTAATCAATTAAGCACTGGTATTAAGTTTTTCTGAAAGTAGTTGTAGTTTGCATAAGTCACTGACGGGGGCAAGCGTTTGAGCATGGCGCGATAAATTGCAAGAGCAAAATATTCTAGATTGTTCTAGAAAATTTTAAACGGGTCTTCAATTACTTTAAAATGCTCCAGAACCTTCATAAACATATAGCTTGAAAAATGAATATATTTTGCCTACTTGTAGAGTCATTAATTGATTATGTCTGATATTCTGATCATATTAATGTCAGGCAATTTGTTTTCTCTCAGATGTTTGTCATCATAAGACACAACTCGCAGCATCGGCGTGTGCGTTACGTCAAAACTTAGGGTCAAACTTTTTAGTAACTCCTTTTCTTGGCTGATTGCATTTTCTGTATCAGTTTTATGTTTGAATTGATTGCGTTTGTCAGTAAATCTTATTAAGAAAGATTTTTTTAAGTTGATCCCACGTAGTCATATCATCAACTGTATCATTAAACCATTCACGAGCCGTTTTCGATAGGAGAGAATCGAATCATAATATCTGACGTTTGTCATAACTTGCTCCTTGATCTGCGTGGGCTAGTCTTTTACCCATTGAGAATAATTTTTTATTCTCTCTGGAATTGCAAAAAGCGCCTGCTGTTTGTTTGGGATGATTTCCTGAAAAGGTCACTAGGGACAGATTTGGGTGGGTGATAGAAGCTTCAGCCATTTATAAAATTAGACTTGTAGACTTGTAAAAACTCGATATTTTTAGCAGACAAAACATTTCAAATTGTGGCTTACTAGTCGCAAATTTATTCTGGGCTAGCGGGAGTGAAAAAAAAGCGATCGACAAAATCGCTTCTAGTCGAATATAAGGGTCTTTCTACCTATTGCTAATAATTTCCAATTCCTATTCAATAGATAAGTCGAGTTTGATCCATTCTTAATTATCTTCATTAATTCCAATATCTAAATTATTTGGCACAAATAAAATGCAAAATTTAGGGTTCAAGAAAGTTATGAACAGCATACATTTTGTGAGGTTGGATTTAATTCTTTTGCTGAAGTTTTTCATTCACTGGTGAAATTTTTCGGTTTTGGTCAAATATGTCTGTGTTGGCCAGAGGGTTGGTAGGGGCTGAACAATAATATTTTAAAAAGCTCATCTAAGCAACTGAGAGCGCGTAGCAAGTTTTGACTGATGTATCGATGTTGTTCCGATGTTGTTGGTATCGATTTTGTTCGAATAAAGTGATGAATATTTATGCTTGGTGTGGTTTTTTGATTCAATCGATTTTTGACGTGTTAACCAAGCTTTTTTGACGATTTTTTTTTTAAATTTGCTGAGAAGTTTTGTAATCCTATGCTAAAATTTAAAGAGATATTTTACCTGTGGTTATGTTTCATTTTGAGATAATTAAAGTGCAAAATATTGCGTACTTATAACAAGCGTGAAAAGCAATTTAATATGTTCCACATTGAATTAAGGCCTGCAATATAATACTATTATCACAATACGAGACGCTAAACATACCCTAAATAATTCACATATCGTGTGGGGCGGGATCAAATAAAGAAAAATGAACAAAAAAAAACTTTTTTCGTCTCAATTATTTTGTCAATTACCCGGGTTGACCTGAATAGACCAAAAGTGCTAATCATACAATTGTATAAAATAAATCTATGAAAAAAACTACTCATACAAAGTTCATACATTTCGCTAACATGATGTCATCGAATACTGGCAGAATTTTTTTTGTTTTGGCGTAAATTTCTTTGTACTATCTAAATAAAAAAAACGTTTTTTGTCCAAAAATTACCAATCATACACTTTCCATATATGGAACTTGTATGACTAGCATTTTTTATAACAAGAAAAATTTTCCAAGTAACATTGAAAATGGCCCGAAGTTAATTTTCTGTTTTTTAACCGCAAATTGAATTTTGTACTCGAACAAACATTTTTCAAAAAAACTTCGCATGCAATTTTTTTAGTGTGTATAATGTAGTCCTGGATAAAATAATATTGGTTTTTTGTCCTTTTTCAAAAACGCGAAAAACTCCTCTTTCTGTTGTATGGAATGTTTATTCAAGCCTTGATTAATCTCTGAGAAAAAAATTCAAATTTTAAAAATAACCTTCGTTGAAATTTTTCGCCAAAAATGCAAAGTTAGAACTTTTTTTTCATTTATTTCAAAAGACTTTAAGACAATTCAGTCGTTTCCAATGCATTTTTAATGCGAGATGGTCAAACTTTAACTTACCCGACGTTTGAGTTACCAAGGCTTTTTTTCGCTTGTTTTCGGTTATGAACACAACCAAAAAAGTTTGAGAAATTACAATGTAAAATATCAATATTTTTGGTTTATGGAAAAGTGCTAGTCATACAGTTTCCACGTATGAAAAATCACTAATCATAGACCTTTCATGCAATTTTCTGTACTTATGGAATTGGATGAACAAGGTATGATTAGCATTTCTTAATATATGAAAATAGTTTGACTCGAATTTTTGGTCAACCCGGGTATTCAATTAAAAAAATTTTAATTGTCCTTCAGTGCAGTCGGAATAAGAGAAGTTTTGTGTGAGCTTTAGAAGCGTAAGTCGACAAGCGAATGCTTTGTTGTTCCGACTTTTGATAGGAAAGTAACGGAGTTTTTGTGCTCGGGTGGGTTTTTTTTCTTCAGACAAATTTCGACTTCTTAACTAGCCATTTTTGACGGATTTTTAAAAATAGTTCAAAGGTAGTTTTGGTTCTGAGCCTAAATTCGAAAAGATATTTTACCTGTGATCCTTTTTTCGAAAAGTTATGGGGGTTGAAAAGTTATATATTTCGCGCTATTAACGCGTAAGCGGAGAGAGATTTAATCCGTCTTAGAAATTGTTCCAAATTGGTTGAAAGAAACTGATTTGCAATAGTTGATTTGTTACAAGGAGCGAAATGTGTTCTGTACTTTATATGGCGTGTGGGGTGATGATTTTCATAGAAAAAATTTCAAGTTTTAGAAAAAAAAAGTTTTCCATTTTTTTATTACATTTAATTCGTTAATGAGAATTATGTTCTTACTGCTCAATAGACCTTAAAAAGCAGTCGGAACATTCAGGGCTTCGCCCTGATACAAACAGTCTTGTTACTTTTTCGCTTCGCTTTTATAGTCTGATATTTGATTTTAACAGCATTCCAAAAGCTGATTAATTGGCACATTTGTGTTTTATCTTTTTAGTTTGCCTCGTTACTTCTTGGCTTCGCTTTTATTGTCTGATATTTGATTTTAACAGCATTCCAAAAGTTGAGTAATTGGCAAATTTTTGTTTTAACGCGCTTGCTCTTTTATATTTTTGGTAATACTTTGTTTATATATTGGCGAATCTTTCTTGTGCTCTATGCAGATTTTCATGGTAAAAACTGTGTGATTACCATTACTTATCATAACTTAATTAAAACAGCACCATAAAAGCATGAAAAAATTACAAGATATTATTATATATAATTTGCATATAATACAAACAGCATAACGTAAAGAAAAACAAGCAACTATTCTTGTTTAGCGAAGAAAAAGAAGCAACAAGCAGTGAGTTTAGTTCAGATGTAAGAAAAAAGTTGTTCTGATTGAATTGTCATATTCAGACTTGGTTTTGATTGCAGTTGAATTATCTATCAACGCCTCAGCAAATCATTTAAGAGAAAAAACATGAATGTGTTAAAGAAAATCTTCTTGCGGAAACAATTAGCGGTTCGATATGCTAAAGTGGGTGTTATTTTGGCTTGTTTACCAGCATTTCTTGTCTGCTTACGGACAACTTTTTTTGGTCAAGTCAGCATTAAAAATGAATATCTGGAAACTTTAGCTGAACATCAACAACGCAACGGTAGTTTGGAAGCTGAAATAACTTCTGTAGAACAGAAGTGCATCGATACTCCGTGGATTGACTATCCGGCACTAGTTCACCGTTATGCTCCCTTAAATCACCCGGACTATTCACTTCCAAAGGGGCTGAAAATGCTACAGGTAGGCAATAAGATCATGGTCGAAGTTATCGCTAATACTTATTTAAGCAATCTAGCATCTCGCGCTCGACATGCTTAATGGCGAGTAATCCGTGGACGATATGCGAGGGATGAAACGTGGCGGTAATTTCATGAGGGGCGAAGTGTGTCAATACCTAAAAACTAATTTTAAAAGATTTGCATGTTCGTTTCAAAATTTGAGGAGTAGAGTTTCATTAACTTAACCAGAAAATAGCAGACTTGATTCAATTCAACCAATGCAATTTGTTCCGTGATCCGATCTCCCATTTCACTCTCCCATAGTTCAAAAAGTCTGAAAAACAAATTTTGCAACATTTTTTCTCTGCTCTAAGAGAAATCGCTATTACGAGGCCAAACTGTGCACTGGATAGGCGGACAATTTTGTGTCTGTATGTTCCTGCATTCCAGAGCCAAGTATTTGAACATGTTCCAAAATGTAAGTGGATTTCCCTTGCAAGATTTAAAAGAATTCTGATGTCTCATTTTTTGTTTGTGGATTCCGCAAACTGTTCTGGATTCCGCAAATACTGTTGCGGATTCCGCAAGTTCGCCTATTTTTGGAGCAATTTTGATCCGTACAGTGTTTAAGGTATTTGTTTGTGGAATCCCAAACAGCAAAGAGGATCAAAGAACTAGCAATTTTGCGGATTCCGCGACAAATCTGATTAAAGCCTGTTGCGGAATCTGCTTACAATGCACAGAATGCACAGTTTTGCCTCGTAATGCTGTTTTTCAAATTATTTTTTGGAAACCCAAATCACGATCCAAGAGGTTGTGTTATGTCACCACATTTTCCTAGTATTCCTCAAAATGGGTATGAATTGAAGAAACATTTGTCGACCCTTTATTGACCATTGAAAACCAGGAAAAGTTTTCTATTCGGGTGCGTTTTATTTTTTTTCTTTTTTTTTGTTCCGACCATTTGAAAAATGGGGAAGAAACTTGTATTCGGGTGTGTTTTACTTTTGTTTTCCACACAAACTTAGATACCACAAAGAATTATGGGAATGGGTCGAGTGAAATATCAAACTAACGCTGTTTCAGTCGTGATACCACGATATAAAAAATTTGACGGAAAATTCTCTCAATATATTAAAAAAACTAAAAATTTTTGATTTTTAGTCCAAGTTTGAGCATATAAATTGAGCGAGCTGGCTTACAATAGTTTATTTTTGCCTAACGTAGGCCGTGAAAGCTTTGTTTTACCCAAATAAAGTTGTTTTCCCAGTTTTTGGCGCCACTTGGAATTTAAAAATATATATATATCAAAAAAATTCTGCAAAATTAAATTGAAAAAATTTTTATTTTTTATTGATAAATTTTTGTATTCTTAATGGTTTTTCTACAAAAGTGTTTTCCATTTGCTTATGCTACTAAGACTTTCGAACATTCCTAAATTTCAAATTTTTGTTCAGACCCTTTTATCACACCATGCAGGCCAAAACGACACTAATTAAACATCTATATTTTCATTTTCTTAGACTATGGTCGAAACATTCTGTGACACTTGCGCAGTAATCGGCTATCCTTATTTAGTTTTTGTTTTCCACGCAAAATCAGGTTCCAAAAAAAAACATCAGTCAATTCTAATCATATTAAAACCCTTTCAGTCGTAATTCGATTGAAACTAAAACAAACTTTAATTATCGTTTCTCAGTGTCGAGAAAAAGCCGTCTAAAATTTTTAGTTTTTGGTGTAATTGGGTGTAATAATTGGGTGTAATTGGGTGTAATAATAAGGCAAGTGAGCAAGCTTGTTTTCGTTTTCAACCAAAAGCATATACCGAAAACAATTATTCAATTGATATGTTGATTTATCCTGATATTTTGTCGAGTAAAATATCACATTAAAGCCCATTCATTCCTAATTCGAACCTAATTGTTAAATTTTTTCTTTAAAAGTTGTCCCAGTCTCGAAAAGAACCGAAATGGAAATTTTGAGTTTTTGTGTTATTTCGAGCAAGTAAAGTAAGTGAGCAGGCTTATTTGAGAGGTATCAGCCATGAAACTTTTGTTTACTTCAGTGAAGCTATTGTTTGAAGTGCTTTAGTGCCATTTTCGAAATAAAAAGCTTCATAACTCAAACATTTTCCGCAAAAACCTTGAAACAAAGTTTGGATATTTTTCGGATCTTTTTTTGTTTTTTAATGGGGGCATTTTTGATCAAAGCCGTTGCCCGATCTCCATATGGCTGTCAAATGTGCCCAATTTTTAGGTTTTCGTCAGATCCTTTCATCACGCCCAGCACAAAAAAAACTCGATTTGAAAAACATGCATTTTTTTTATTTTATAAGAACATGGTCGGTTACATTTTCTGCTACTCGTACAACAGCCGGCTATCCTTGATTCTGTTTTTGTCAATATCTTGGCAAATAAGAGAGATACAGCAGTCAAATTTGCGAACAAGAATGACAGTTTTGTTCAAAACATTGATTAACCCGGAACTTACAAAAGAAAACTAGATTGAAAAAAATTTTTCAATGAATAAAATACGATTATCAGAGATGTGTTCTTGGAGTTAAATTCCTTCCTAAAATTGCCACGAATAAATTGGACTCGAAACTATTTAAACGCTGCAGATGCTCATTTTGTTCGTGTCTAATTTTTCAAAGCTCAATAAGCGCTTGAAAAAAATACTTGTGATTAGCTATGAAAATACAACTAGACGTTGATCTATGATATTGGCAATTAAAGTTCAATTCAAACACTTTTCTTATTTTGAGAACATTTGTGAAACGGTACTCAAGCCTTATTTTTTCGACAAAAATTAAAAACTGCATTTAATAACTCAATAATTTGAACACTTTTTAGTGATTGCTTGAAAAAAAAATACTATAAGCAGGGATCGATCTAGATTTTTCTCGATTGGGAGCGAGGGGAGGAGGCTAGAGGACGGGCGGATTTTCAGAAAAAATCTTCGAAATTTTTTTCCGAGCTCTCTCAGATTATTATAAAGAGTCTATAATGATCAAATTGTCTGCGCCGCATGCATGTTTTCGAAAAAAACAGGCCAAAAAGCGTTTTATGTCTTTTTTGGAAAATTTTTATTAAAAAATTGCGTTTTTTCGGCTCGCGTTACCCACTCAAAGCTAGTATATACTGACGTCGAAGGCGCCTTTAGTAAAATTTTATGCTCATTCAGCCAAAATGATTATCTCAAAATAATACAAAGGGTGGACATTTATATGGAAATTGTATGACTACCATTTTGTTGATGGCGACACAAAAACTTTGAAATTGCCCCAAAATTTGTTTTGTTTTTTTTCCAACCGTAAATCGAATTTTGTAACCAAACAAACTTTTTCCACAAAAAAAAGTTTGCATGCAATTTTTTTTGTGTGTGTGTGCATAACATAGTCCTGGATACACTAATGTTGGTTTTTTTTCCTTTTCGCTTCATAATTTTTTTTCAAAAAGGCTGAAAGTTCCTATTTCTTTTGTATGATGTGTTTATGCAAGCCTTGATCAATGTCTGATAATATAAAAAACGAAATTTTTATAATAATCATCTTTGAAAAACTTCGCCAAACTTTAAAAGTTTGTAACTTTCATTTGTGTAAGACAATTCAGGCCATTCTGTATGCAATGGAAATACAAGACCGTCCAACTTTTGGTGCATTGAGTAAACCAAGCTTTTTGTCACTTGTGTTCGGCTACAAACACAACCTAAAATTTTTCAGAAATTAAATTTAGGAACAAAAAATCAGTTTTTTGGTTAAGGGGAAAACACGTATCATACAATTTTTATATATGTGAAATGCTTATCATAAAAATTTTATACAATTTTCTGTACGTATTGAAATGTATGAAGTTTTATGACAAGAATTTTTGGTCAACCGGGGTAGGTTGAACTACTAATAAGTTCATAATTTTCGAAAACTTCTTAGAGTTTCACGTTTAGCAGGTTCCCAATATGATAGCTTGAAAGATACATTATCTCAACCTTTCAGATACCAAGAGAATATAAAAACGTTAGAAATCATTTTAAAAAAAGCATGTTTTCAACTGATCTCATTTTTCATGGCCAAAAAATTTTTGTTACAGCTGCATTGAAAAAAAAACGTGACAAGATTGCCAAAAGTTCAAAGAATAAAAACTAGAAAGATAAGAAGCTAAAACTAATCCACCAAAAAACTGCTATTACTTATCTTTAACCTTTGATTTTTCAACGCTCTACTTGAAGCAAATCGTTGAGGTCAAACTTTTTAATATTTAAGCCCTTTTGTTGAATCCAAAGTGAAAAAGAGCCCAAAAATTGCGCATGACTTTTGTCAAGTTAAAAACAAAAAAACTTTGTTATGCCAGGATTTTGTTAAAATTAATTGATAAAATTAATTGCAAAAAGTACGAAATAGACTAGCGCGAAATAAATTAAAAATATATCAAAATGTTTCAACTTGTTTCAAGAGATTTTGTTTAAGTGTAGAAAAAAAACATGATAAACTAGCTTCACTCAGCACATGAATGCATCATTATAGTTTGTTTGACTTTTAACCGAGTTTTTTATTAGATATCATCTGATAAACATAACTCTAATCTGATAACAATTTGCAAGCCTTGATCAATGTCTGATAATATAAAATAAATGTTAAATAATCATCTTTGAAACATTTCGTCAAATTTTAAAAGTTTGTTACTTTCCTTAAATCATTTGTGAAAGACAGTGTCCAATCTTTGGTGCTTCGAGTAACCAAGGTTTTTGTCACTTGTGTTCGGTTACAAACACAACCCAAAAATTTTCAGAAACTAAAATTAGTAACAAAAAATCGAATTTTTTTAGTTAAAGGAAAAACACCTGTCATACAATTCTCATATATGGAAAAAACTTGTCATAGAGATTTCATACAATTTTCTGTACGTATGGAGCTGTATGAAAATGTATGGCAAGAACTTTCTCATATATGAAAATTGTATGATAACAACCCGGGTACTATGAACTATAAATAAGTTCATAATTTTTGAAAACTTGTTAGAGTTTCACTATGAACACGTTTCCATTATGATAGCTTGAATGATACCTTATCTCAGCCTTTCAGATCTCAGGAGAAATTAATAAAAATAGAAAGCATGTTTTTCAACTGATTTCAATTTTCATAGCCAAAGAATTTTTGTTACAGCTGCAGTGAAAAAAAAACGTGGCAAGTTGCCAAAATAAGTTCAAAAAATAATAACTAGAAAGTTAAGAAGCTAAAACGAAACCTCCGAAAAAACTGCTATTACTTATGTTTAACCTTTGATTTTTCAGCGCTCTACTTAAAGCAAAATGTTGAGGTCAAAACTTTTAATATTTAAGCTTTTTGTTGAGTTCAAAGTGAAAAAGAGCCCAAGAAATTGTGCATGGTTTTTGTCAAGTGCAAAACAAAAAAACTTTGTTATGCCAGGATTTTGTTAAAAGTAATTGATAAAATTAATAGAAAAAAGTACAAAATAGCCTAGCGCAAAATAGAATAAGAATATATCAAAATATTTCAAATTGTTTCAAGAGCTTTTGTTAAAGTGAAGAAAAAACCTGATAAACTAGCTTCACTATGCTCATGAATGCATCATTATAGTTTGTTTGAAATTTAAACGAGTTTTTTAAATTATGATATGAAAATTATAGCTGTAATCCCATTACATTATTTTGTTTTCAAATTTTTTGTCTTAAGAAATTGAAATGAAAAAAAAGCAAAGTTTGTGAGTTAATTCAAAGGTGTGAGACCTAAGATTCTTTGTAAAGCTAAAATATAAGAAAACGACAAAATTCTATGATTTTCGATTGATTTATACGTTTAAATTTCAATCCGAGAATCTAATGTTTAAGCCCTTTTGTTGAATTCAAAGTGAAAAAGAGCCCAATAAATTGTGCATGACTTTTGTCAAACGCAAAACAAAAAAACTTTGTTATGCCAGGATTTTGTTAAAAGTAATTGATAAAATTAATAGAAAAAAGTACAAAATAGCCTAGCGCAAAATAGAATAAGAATATATCAAAATATTTCAAATTGTTTCAAGAGCTTTTGTTAAAGTGAAGAAAAAACCTGATAAACTAGCTTCACTATGCTCATGAATGCATCATTATAGTTTGTTTGACATTTAAACGAGTTTTTTAATTTATGATCTGAAAATTATAGCTGTAATCCGATAACATTATTTTGTTTTCAAATTTTTTGTCTTAAAAAATTGAAATGAAAAAAAAATCACCCTGTAGAAAATCAAAGTTTGTGAGTTAATTCAAAGGTGTGAGACCTAAGATTCTTTGTAGAGCTAAAATAATAGAAAACGACAAAATTCTATAATTTTCGATTGATTTATACGTTTAAATTTCAATCCGAGAATTGTTCAATCAAAGAAAAATTGTTAAAAATAATCAAAAAAAAATTTAAAAAATGTTTTAAACTTTTTCGTCGAAAATTTTTGAATTTTGAAGTTTTTGATTTCCAAAATTCCAAATCACCAAAAATTATCAATACTCAAGTAAAACTAAGTTTTCACGGCTTAAAATAAGCATAAATAAGCTACTGTAATCCTGCACGCTCACCTTATTAACTTAAATTTAGAACAAAAATCAAACTCTACGAGGCCAAACTGTGCAGTGAATAGGCGCACAATTTTGTGTCTATATATTCCTGATTTCCAGAGACAAATCTTTAAACATGTTAAAATTTTGGCTGAACGATCAAAGAAAATGAAAGAACGAAAGAAAAACAAAGGGAGCGTCCTTGTTGCCGAATCCGCGTACATTTCCCAAAATATACAGTTTGCCCTCGTAATGAAAATTTCAAACTGGTTTTTCTCGAACACCAGAAAAAAAGCTGAAACACATCCAGATACAAAATTCCTCCACATTTTTCAAATGATTGGAACAAAAAATCCCAGCTGTAATTGAAACTTTTTTTGACATCCCAACTCTCCTCATACAATGAAAAAACTTGGTGAAAGATTACACTATCAATTTAAGAGAAGCTGGATGTCTCCGGAATCCAACCACCCTCACCTGCTAAAGCTGCCATTTTGATAACACCCAGGAATCTGACGCTCAGCCTAGATTTGTTCTGAAGGCGCATTCGATGCCAATACATACTAACTTTGGCGGGGAAGCCCCAGTTAATAACTACGGTTTCTTGCTGTCAAAACAATACAGCAAATGCCCAAAAACGGAACTTCAAGTTTTTTAGATTGATTTGTTAAAAGCTTTTTTAGGTGAATAAAACGAAAACAGATGGGTATTTTTTATTTTTTGAAAATTTCTTTACCGTCCAGCTCACGAAAACTCTGAATGTCTTTGCTAGCAATAAGCATTTTTCATTAATTTGGCGAATTAATCAATTGGTTTCAGGACCCTTCTGACGCCACTAGTCTGATGGAAAAATGCTCAAAAGTTGACTCTGAAGCAAATTTGCGGGTCCTCATGATCAACTCTCGGGCAACTTCCTTCGCACAACGGTTGGCCCTACGTGAGACATATCTACCAGAATTATTACAATCGATCACCAAAAACATCAGTTGGATATATTTTTTCGCAGTTAGTCAACCTTATTCGGATGGCAATGTTAATATTTCAAACATAAAGGAGGATTTGCAAAAGGAAATTTCCCAATATGCCGATGTTGTTATTTTCAACACGCCTGAAGGTACAATTATGATAGATGGGTCCTTAAAAATAATAATAATCATATCAAATTGTTTTTAGGCAAAATTACTCTTAGCAATTTTAAAACTGCCATCTATAGATCAGTTTTCAGGTATATCTGATAATTTCAAGATGAGTCTTAATTGTTTGAAGTTTGAAGTATTTAGTGAGCATTGGGAAGCCTGTTTTTTGTTAGTATATTTTTGAGGTACCCTTATCATTTACGCGGTTGTTTGAACTGCCCATCTATCGTATTTCTATCCGGCTGAAGGTTACGATTTAACCCCGCTCAAAATTCTTTCGTCAATGAAATTAGTTTATTGCTACTGTCCAAAATTCGATTATTTTGCAAAATCTGACGATGATACATACACAAGAATTGATAGACTGAACAATGAGCTTCCCAAACTGCAAAAAGAAATAGATGAAACGGCAATACAATTCAATATATATGCCTTTAAAGTATCAAAACGCCTGCCTGGCTTCAGAACGTGGGTGGGGGGGGGGGGGGGGGGCGCCCTATATTTTACACAACTTATAGTTTACTCTCCTTATATTTAATTTTTGAGCTTTTAGGTGACTCAGCTCACAGGTTTGTTCAAGTTTTGGTGCGATTATCTCATTTTAAATGTTTTTTTTTTTAATTTAATGGTCATATCTGACCTCCGCGTTGTTTACAAAAACCTAGAGGAAAAAAACTACAACAAAAAGACAACAAAAACGAACATATCAAGTTGAAAGCGGAGACTTTTAACGGTAATCGCATTGAAAAAGCCAACAAAAACGTCGATTCAAAGCTCTATCTGGAGTTAGATAACGAAAAAGCGTCTATTTGCCTTATCATTTACCAAGGTGAAAGTCCTTTGGATTCGTTTTGCAGAAATTTTAGACTCATCAAAAGCCAATTGTTGCATTTGAATGCCTCAAGGGAAAGATAAAGCTTGGAACAATTTAGGGGAGCTTTAACGGAGATTAACAAGAAATGTTATTTAGCCAGCAGAGAAGAAAAACGGATTCGAAATATCTTCATAAACAAAATGAAAAAACACGACTACCAAAAAAAATTATAGAAAATTCACCACCTTATGAAGCCCTTAACAAAGCCTTAATTAAAGAACAGAGAGTATTAAACTATCTCAAGATGACAAATGAAATTAAACCAACTGCATATTATAACTCGGAAAAGAAAACAATAAAATTTTGTAAAAAGAGAGCTTACAATAGCTTTAAAACGAAGGAATCTGAGGAAAAAGTAAAAAGTGTCAATTGTCAGGAAACTTCAGTTACCAAAAATGTTCTTTTGGATTGGCCTGGTGTACATAAATATGTTGAAAGAAGTGTATTAATTTAATCAACGTATAGTCAAATGCAAAACAAACTGATAATATCGAGATCCTGAGAAAGTAAGTCAATCGTTACCACCTCAGAAAGTAAGTCAATCGTTAAGACGGTCGTATTATCCAAAAAAATAAGAATATCGACATTCAAAAGAACATCAATTTTCAAAAAAGAATAAAAACATCAGTCTTCAGTGAGTCGAAAGTTTTGTATGTTGACATTCGAGCACTCAAAAACTGAAAAAAAAATAGCAACAAAATAGATTCAAATGCCCAATTGTTTTGACTAACAAGAAAGATAAGCTGATTAAGCTAGCGTTTAACACAAGTTCTTAAATAATTAGATACTCGAAAATATATACCAGATGCCAAACATACTCCAAGTCGTCGAGGAAGTGGCATCTCAAGTGTCTAAGATCTCCAAAAAGATCAAGAATAGCCAGTTACTGTGGAATAAGCACAGAATGTTCCAACCAAGTCTTTTAAAAATAACGAAGAAATCTTTTCAAAAGGGTTTCGTTCTTTTCAAGTTGTGATAAACTAATAATGTAGTTGGAATCACGACTGAATGGGCTTTAATATGATATATCACTCGACCAATCCGATGATCATGTGTGGTAACTGATTTTGCGTGGAAAAGAAACCCAAAAGAAATCGGAATACAAAAACTGCTCTCCTTTTTCAATGGCCGGATCAATTATGACATACTAGCTTGCAGTTCATAAACTGTTTTCCAAAATTGCACTTTTCTTCGAGCAAAAAACCGCAATTTTGATAGTTTTGGTATAGCGGGAAGAACGTAAACATGCAAATAACAAACTCAACATGATTTTACGGTTTTACAAGAAACCCAACAGGATTTCTGAAATTGATTTTTTGTCCATCAAAACTTGATAATAGGTGTCTTTTTGTGGAAAAAGATCGCTTCTCAGACTTTTGTCTAACATCATCTCTGGCCCAGTTCTTGAGTTTGGCTATGTTTCTAATTTGTGTTCGATCATGTTTCGAGCACATTTTGTGTTCGATTATGTTTTGGCCACACTTTATGTTGGACTTTATGCTCGACTATATTTCGACCATACCTGGGTTGACTTTGTGTTCTATCATGGATCGAACTAGTATTGGACTATGTTTTGATCCATCTTTTTGACTATGTCTCGGCCACTCTTTAAGTAGTGCGACTTTCTGCTCGGCTACTTTTCGACCCTACCTGTTGTCGACTTTGTGTTCGATCAAGGATCGAAATAGTATTGTAGTATATTTTGACTATAAATAATGAAAATTTAAAACCTTAAAAGTTGTTTATTTTTGGTTTTTGGTGTTAACAAAAATTAGAACGCTTCTGTAAAAATAGTTGAAAACTAGAATTTCCAGATCTTGATATATTTCTCATTATGAAGTTCTCCAACATAAACTGTTGTTTAAATCATTAGTTTTTGTTGTTGAAGCATTCAATAATGTTTCATCAAGGTCAATTTGATATCGAATAGAAGCTTTGAACATATTTTCCAATTCATAAAATTAATAAATTTTTTATGCAGAACTTAACTGTCGGCCGGCTGTATTTTTTGCTCAATTTGATTATTTCTATGTGCGCAATGACTGTTTTCCATCTATGATCAGATTTTTGCGTTCTGATTTTTTGCCTGATTTTGGTTTTTTTTTGGGTTTCGAACAACTCAGATATAAATCAGTAGTACTGTGGGGCTGTTAAAACTAGTAAAATTTTTAGAGACTCGAGTTTCGTTTTACAAAAAAAAACACTAAAATGCTAGCAAAGTTTTGAAAAACAGAAGTTTTTTTGGTTTTTTTTTTCGATGAACGAATTTTCCCTTATTTATTAGGAGCGAAAAAACAAAGGTGATAAGTTTCCGTAACGATTCGAACACCCACGACCCCTCCTCTTCCTCCGAATCAGCTACAGTTCGTTTGTCTAACTTGAGTGAAAAATCTCCAGTCTCGTTGTTTTGAATTTTTAAATAATTGCCTTAGTAAACCACAGCTAAATATTGAGAATTGTACTGCTGAAAGAACCCGGAATGGAGAATTGCGAACCCGCGCAAGCCAAATGCCGAAAGTCACACGCCGTTGAACACAGCAGGGCTTTGCAAATTCATACACGTACCTCGTAAGTGGTCGCGGCTTACAAGTCGTCATCAGGTAATATTGTGATAGATGGATCCCAAAAATAACTAGCGAGCTTCCAAAAAAGCAAAGAATTATTTTTCTCGTTGATTTTTTTTCCAAAATTTCAACCCTTTGAACAACTTGGGATCATTGTCTTATATGGTCTAAATTTAACAAAGTGTTAATCTAACCTTACGAAAACTGCTGATTTACTTTTTCCACTATTATTTTCAAGCAATCAATCAGCTTTGAATATTTTAATCCACTTTACAAAATAACAGAAGATCATTTTTGAGTTGTACAACAGAACAAACCTTAGATTTTTTGCCAAACTTTTTGTACCACTAAAAATATCGATGCTCGAACTTCAAATTTAATAGATCTTTTCTTGCAAGTACGTTTTGTAAAGATATAACGTTTTGAAAAATGGCCATTTGGGATCATTTTTGTGCGGTCTATTTAGATTTTTAGGTAGCGATTCATTTCGGCTGAAAATCATTTCAAATTGAATTGAGGCAAACTGATTGACGCAAAATCACTTTGTACTTCGACAAAAAGTGTGGGGTAAGAAAACTTTTAAAAACACTTTTTTTTCAGTTAACAAAAAAAGTTTTCTCTAATTTGTTTCTAAAAACCATTTTGCTACAGTCGCATTTTACGGCATAAAAATCAGGGTTTTGTCATCATACGAGCAGTCGTGTTAATTTAGAGAACCATGAATTGGTCTTAAATCAATTGATTTTCTAATGAGAAAAAAGTGTCATTTTTAACTTTTTGGACGAGTTTTCCCAAAAAAATGATTAGGGTCGTGCTGCCCTCAAATTTCGTAATTTCGTTGGATCTACAAACAGTTTTCAAAATAAAATTGCTTCTCTGATTCACATCATTGAAAAACGCAATCCATCTGTCACAATTGAACTTCGCCTTAGATTCCGGAGAGCGTTTTACCTGGAAAGAAAGCGCCCTTCAAATACTGTATGGGTCAATTGGAAATATTCAGCAGCTCTATCATTGAGAGCTTGGTACAAAACTGTGCGCAGCATTGCATTGGATTTTATGGAAACAGTGTCAACTTCAATTTCTCAGTTCCTTGCATATGGCGACCCGAAGATATGTGGTTGGGTTCGTGCATACACGCATACTTCAAAAGTATGTGACACTTATTTTACAATAGTCGGCACAAATGAATGTATGCGAAATACACGCAGGCACAGATCTCACTGAGCTTCGATATTCGGTTGTACCAGAGCTTGGCATAACTTATAGTGAATCTTCTTATCAATCCCCACTATGGTATCTACTATACTGAAGAATTCCACCCCTATAAATAAAAGCAGTGAACTAGCTCTAGAGCATTTTGTTTATAATTCGAACTTTGCTGCATTCTGATTGGTCAAAAAATCAACTTAATCTACCTAATATTTCTTCTAGTAAGGGTTAATTGTTTATTAGGTTAACTTAGTCAATTTCTGACCAGTCAGAATGCAGCAAACTTCGAGTTTCAAATGGATAGCTCTAGTACTAGCTAACTGTTTTTTTTATAGAGGTATAGGGGTGGCAAATATTTAGTAGAAACCCTTGGGGGCGATTGTTAGGTAGTTGGGGTCTTATGCACTAAACTGAGTTATACCTTTTGGTTATAATATTAGAATAATTTCAGATAAAGTACTACGTCTGCTCGCCACGCTATCTTGTTTTCGCCCGGATAGATTCGTGCAACTTCTTAGTCTAATACCAATCTTAATCCTACTCTTATATCTCCTAGTCTCAATAGATCTAGTGTACACCGGTTTATGCGAAAGCTCCAGAATGAGACCAACTGTAATCTAAGCCGAATTCAAATTGTTCTGGTGTTGAAACTACAAGTAGTTTGAACACTTACGAATAAGTGGGTTGTTAGTTTGATGGAGTATGATTGGTTAGTATTCAATATTTTATAGAGAAAAAATATCAGAAAATTATCCAATAATAAATTCTAGTTTAGATCTGGTTCCACCCATCCGGGGCTTAGAGAGTTTTAGTTTTTCAATGTTCTATTGTAGTGGAGGATGGATGATGGTGTTTTTCTTTAGAGGTTGCGAGCATATTCTTTTTTCTGGTTTGGTAGAAGAGTTGTTATCACGATCAATTCGGGAGATCAAATTATGATTTCTGATCGGTTGTGGTGAGTGTAGATTCGGTTGGTCTTAGAGAATAGCAATGGTTCAACCACGTTCGGGAGTGGCATGTAGTTTGACTTTGGATGTAATGCCTGGTGACTTGGGTGTGTACGTATACTTGAACATCGAGATAGCCATTGTTCAGTTGCAATGGGTTTACTTTGTTGCGATGCCAAGTCGTACTTTAAATGCGTTGAGTGTAGTGACTGTGGGCAGCATGTCGGCTGTGTTTTGCCATTCCGTAGTCGGAGTGTCATTGGGTAGTCAAGTTCCTTGCTGCTCTTCTTCGGGCTGTATGTTATCTACATACTGCATTGATCATTTACATATATAAATCTTTGTTAGTTTTGTTTTTAGTTATGATCTTGTATTAGTTTTTATCGCAAAAGGGTCCTGTTTTAGGATCTTTTTTGGAGGGTCCTGTTTGAGTTCAACCTTTCGTGCCTTTTTTATTACAGTTTTTTTTTCTTTTTTGTCTTGGTTGTGTCTGTTTCTAAAAAATCGAATTGTTTGTTTTGGGTTTATCTTTCGACTTTTTGGTGTTTTTGTTCTTTTGTGTTCTGACTTAAAAGTAGTCTTCAAAAGAAAAATTTATCCAGTTCTAAGCTAGTGTTAATCCAGTTTGGGTACCGTGAGTTTTCTTTTTTTAGTCATGCTGTTAGGTTGTGGTTTGTGGTGTTTAGTAAGCTTGCGTTGGTTAGTTTGGATTATTATATAGTTCATTTCCAACCGGGTTAAAGGAAAGGTTGAAATGTGTTAAAACTGGTTAGAGTTGTTATCAGTGAAAGTTTAAACTTAAATTCGTTATTTTAAACAATTCTTCGCGGCGAGCTGTGCGGTTGTGGATAGAATTGTGGGCGAGTGAATACTTAAATTATAAATAAGCGTCTTTGAAAAGTTTAGTGCTGCTTTTAATTTTATAGGCAACGTTTCTGAATTTACTTACTTTGAAATTATAAATTTTACTGCTTGATTTGAGGGTTGAAATTATCAGTTTATTTTCAATTGTAAGAAAATTTACTGCATGGGGGAAAAGAATTTATATATCAATCATTGCATTGTACGGAGAAATTTTACTGCTTCATATAATGAAATTGGTTAAAAGAAAATTATGAATCTAGAAAAAAGATGTCTGTTTTTTATTTTGTTCTTCTTTTTTTAGATGATTGCTGCGAGTGAAGACTATAGAAAAAAAAAGAAAAAATTTATGAAGAAGGGTTAGTTTTTGTTTGAATTTATTTGTAAACTATTTAATTCAAATAACCTACTTGTCTGTGAAGAATCCGTGAGCAAAAACATCGTGGATAATCTCTGATGATGTTAGTATTTTGGCTAGCAAACAAATGATGTATTTAGTTTGAAGAAGTGGCCAAAGCAATTCGAGTACTTTAATGATCTTGTGATCTTCAGTGCTAGGTGAGAGTTCATAGGGTGCATTTTGAATGAGGTTATAAAGTTTATGATTATATCTGGTGTTATGGATCAATTTAAATTTTGGGGTTTCAACGGGCTGTAGGAGTTCGTGTGGAACGATTAGTGGGCGGGATTCGTCTACGTTGAAGATTTTGGTTAAGGGCCAGAATATATACATCTGGATGATCGGATTGTAATTGCGGAGGATGCTTTGTTGTTTAGTGTCTTTAATACAATAAGCGAAATTAAGAAAGAAGAATGGACTTTAGGTAATTATAAGTGTGTGTTTGTTTAGTTCGTAACATGACGTCGTGTGAACAGTCCAAATCACGTTCTTTGGGTGTGAGGAAATGAAAGGTTAGTGAAAAGTGGTTAATTTTGTTGAAGTAGGAATCATAAGCTTGAATATCACGTAGTGCTGTTTAAATGACATGGTCGTATTTTTTATCTAAAGTATTGAGGGTGAAAACGTATGGTCTTTTAACGAAAAAATTTTCTGTTAGTTGTGGGTTAGCAAATTGGTCGTTGTTTAGAATGATGTCTTCATTAGGTCTTATGATGTTATGATCGTAATGGTCGGTAGAATATTCGTTATTTTTTGGTGCGGTGATTTTGATGAGTGATTGTTCGTATCCTATGTGTGTGAATTGTTTTGGGGATAGTTCTTCTGTTAAAAGGTAGTGTTGAGTGCTGCAGTGTTCGTTGTCATGAGGGGTGTTAAATAATGGTAGTATGTTGGATTAGTAAAATGATATAATGATGTCATTAAAATTTTAGGGTATAAGACGTGCTCATTTACATAATTAGGGGTTTCTTCATTGAGGTCTGAATGAACGTATGTGTACTGGGGGAAAAAGTGGAAACATATTTGGAGAAACTCTTTTGTGTTAGTGTGAAGTGGTTGATCAACAAATGTTGTGGATGTTCCTGGTTTAAAGGGAAATGGAGTATTGGGGAATTTTCTTTTAAAGGTTCGGTAGGCTCGGTTTGTACTGAAGGATGGAGTTGGTGAGCAAGTTGGGTTTTGCGAAGGGGTGTAATGTGAAGAGGGAGTTGAGGTTGATGGGTTGGATGATACTTTAGATTGTGAGAGTTGGTGAATGCTTAATGTTTGAGGGTGCTGTATTGTTGTTAAAGTGTTATGAAACTATCAAGCTCTTGAGATATTTGCGTATTTACAGAGCTGTTGGTGTCGGAAGGTTCACTGGTCAAGAGGGAATATATGGGTGTTACATTTGAAATTGAAGAGGGAGGATAAGGGGGTTCAATTTTGATTTGGGAGTGGAGAGGTTGAAAGGGAGGTTGGGAAAACGTAGATAGGCTGGGTTCTGAGTTGGCAAATTCGTCGGGGGTCTCGAGATCGGAGTTATTAAATTGGGAAATAGTATTATATACACTTGTGTTTGAACTAGTGTCTGAATCCATGCAGGATAAAGTGTTATCATGAGGTGATTGAGGTGAGGGAAAGCAAAAAGTGGGATAATAGGGAGGTTGCTTTGAAGGTTGGCTGGGTAGGAAATTCAGCGATGGAGTGATCCAACTTGGCGGCACATCGTGGGCTAAAAAGATGGTTGTTCTGAGAACGAAAATTAGTGGTATGTGGTTGTTCTATAATTTTCTCGTATGCGTCTTCTTTATTAGGCTGTTGGGTTATAACGTGTTTAATTGGGCTTTGTGGATAATTAGATCTTGAAGATTTGAGGTCTGTCAGGGCTATATTTCTGATATTTCGTGGTACTAATGATAAGGGATGGTTATGGTTTGAGTTTTGTAGTTGTGGTGCCGGAGGCGTTGTATTTGTGTTGTTTTATGAATCGTCATATTTGTTTGGTGTTGTTGATAGCTTGGTATTGTATTCTTTTGCTTGAGCGTCTAAAAGTTTTTTATTTATTGATGTAGAGAATTTTCCAAAAAATCCTGCAAAGAGTATGCGTGCTACGCTTGCTTGTTTGTTTACTTGTCTGTGTTTTGCGCATGTATTGTAGATTCCTTTTAATAGAGAGAAAAGAAATTCAAGAAAATTAAACCTTGCGTATAATATAGTCAATCTTTCCAATATGTAGTAGGGCTATCCTAGAGAGGCAAGAAGTTCGTTTTTCAAATTTAAAAAACTAGAAATAATTATTGGTAATATATCTTGCGATCTGTATTTTTCGCCATTTAAGTAAATGTAATCTTTTATATCTTTAAAATATCCGATGTAGTCTTGTGCGCATATGTCTGAAAAGCCTGCTGTTTCTGCAAGCTTGCGTAAGTTTTGGTCTATGGAATGTTGTTGTATTGTGTCCTTTTGTGTGAGTAGTTCTTGAAATTGTTGTGTTCCTATGTGATGTTGAAAGTCGGATTTAGAGTATATGCCGACCGATTGTAAACCGATATTTGGATTGCGGGCAATAGCTCTAATGCTTTCAGGTAAAAACTTTTTTAGTGACCGCATAAGTGTACGATATGGTGTGAGAAGATAGTATTTATCTTCGTCAGGATTTACTTGTACTACATTGTGGCTGTTTTCTGATCCACAAGGGACTGCTGTATCCCAAAAAAAAAGTTCTTCGGGAGAGTGTATCAACAAAATGT